ATTTGTTGAGGCTACATCATGGTTTGTAATACTTCCAAGATTCTATCATCAGACGATTAATCGAACCATTGCTGCCATGAAAACTTTAAAAGTGTTGTCAAGAACAAACTCTCCGTTTCATTGAGAAAACTTAGGAAAATCATAGAAGAGAAAAGTAAAAAAAAACAAAATTCTAAAATCCCAACAAAAATAAAAAGGAACGCATACCTGAATTGGTCTTCTCGAAATAAACTTGAAAATAGATTTGTTGAAAAGTAACAATTTATGAAATGAAAAACAAATCAATCTCGAAATAAACTTGAAAATAGATTTGTTGAAAAGTAACAATTTATGAAATGAAAAACAAATCAAGTGATGGAGATGAAGAAAAATGAAATAAAAAACAAATCAAGTGATGGAGATGGAGAAAAAGATATTGAATGATGAACAATTTATGAAGAAGAGTTAGGGAAAATGAAAAGATTGTGTTAAATGCAAACATAAATGAATAATCAATGTTTATAGAAATTAGAATGTGAAACTAAAAAAAATTAAAGGAGAATGAATGAAAAAAAAGATAAATAAATTTCCAACCTTTAGGAGAAGCCAAGTCATCAACCTTGGTTTCTCCTTTAATATATATATATAGATTAGTTATCTAAAGAATACTTTTTATTCGCAAGTAATGTCAGAGATATCTTCAATCATTATGGAAATTCCATTGTCTCTGCGATTAATAACTTCCCTAGAAAAGAAATGGGTAGTCAAATTGAAAAAAGAAAACCAGTAAAAAAACATATTGAAGTTTGTTGAGGTCACATCATAGTTTATAGTACTTTCAAGATTTCATCATCGGACCATTATTGTCATAATATGTTTTTCCTTTACACATATTAGTTTTCTCAAAATATACTTGAAAAAAGATAACCATTAAAAAACATGTTGAAGTTTGTTGAGGCTACATCATAGTTTGTAGTACTTTTAAGATTTCATCATCGAACCATTATTGTCATAACATTCCATCATCGACCATGTTGTCATCAAAACTCTAAAAGCGTTGTCAAGAACAAATTATCGGTTTCATTGAGAAAACTTAAGAACATTATAGAAGAGAGTAAAAAAACAAAATCCCAAAATCCTAACAAAAATAAGAAGAAATGCATATCTGAATTAGTATTGTCGAATAAACTTAAAAATAGATTTGTTGAAAAAGAATAAAATTTATGAAATAAAAAACAATTAAGTGATAGAGATGGAGAAAAAAAATTGAATGATAAACAATTCATGAAGAAGAGCTAAGAAAAATGAAAGGATTGTGTTAAATGAAAAATCTTTATAGAAATTAGAATGAAAATTAGAAAAAAAAAAGATTAAAATAAGGATAAATGAGAAAAAAGATAATTTCTAACCTTTAKGAGAAATCATGTCATCAATCTTGGTTTTTTCTTTGTGAGAATATTTTTAAGAACATAATCAATTGTTTCTTGATAGCAATTTATGTCAAATTATATCAAGAGGAAGAGATTGAGAAATAAAGAGATGAAAAGATAAAAAGTTGGAGAAGGTAAATCAATTGCAATAATAAATAAAATAAATGTCTATTAAGAAGAAGTTGAATAGTCTAGGGGGTTAAACTTATCTTAAATGCTTATTGAATAATTTGGGAGGTTAAACTTAGTTGGATGCAAAATTACCAAATGATCTCATCTATTATGAAATATACAATTTGCTTGTAGGGGTATAATAGTCTTTAACTTAATTAGTATTTTAAAAAACAAAAAAAAGGAGAAAAAAGATAAATAAGCTCCTAGCTTTTAGAAGATGCCACATCATACATAGTGGTTTCTTCTTTAATATATATATAGATTAAATGAGTGGACTAGGATGGATTTCACAATCTCACATTTTGGTGAGTTCTCAAATGTTTAAACCTCTATATATATAGAGGTAAGATTTTTGTTAACAAAAAATATAGCGTTAACTCTGTGAACTTATTGGACCAATAATGTATTCATTCTAGAGGTTACTTCAAATGTTTGATTTAATGATGAAGGACAAATAGGTAAATTTTATGTTCAACTCTTTATGTGTAAATGTTTTTTATGAAGCATTTGGTACGCAGACATGATTAGATAGGACTAGACAAGACATAATTGAACATGACAGAACCGGACAGGACTGGACAGGACAAGAGGATAGGCCTAGACAGGATATAAATGGACAGAACAAAAGTATGTCTGATGTTTGATATGACTAGAACTGGACGAGACAGAACTAAACAAGTTATCCCAAAAGTTATTTCATGATTATAAATATTATATAATAGTTATAATTAACACAAATAAAGTAAATCATTAAAGAATTTAATTTACAAATATTTGTTCAGAATTTTCATATCAATGAATACATACGTATATACTGGTATCACATTTGAATGAAAAAATTGATATAATTGATGGTAGTAGTGGTGGTGGAGGTAGTTTTGGTAATTGTGGAGGTGGTGGTGGCCGACTGTAATAGTGGCAATGGGTGGTGGTGGTTACTGAGGTAGAAGTAGTGGTGGTGGTGGTTGGTAGACGACGGTGATTATAGAGGACATGAAGATGGTGGATTGTGGTGGTGATGATGGTTGACAGTGGTGGAGGAAGTGGTTGTGGCTGATGTAGTGAAGATAGTAGTGGTGGTGATGCTTAATATGGATGTGAGGTGGCAATGAATGGTGGTGGCCGATGGTGGTTGTGGAGGTCGTGGAGGAGGTTGTTACAGTAGAGGAGGAGTTGGAGGTGGCCAACGATGGTGGTGGTGGCAATAGACGGTGGTGGTTGGTAGCTGATAGTGGTTGTAGAGGTGGCAATGGACGATAGTGGCCGGTGGTTGACGGTGGTGGTTGGTGGTCGATAGTGGTTATAGAGGTGGCAATAGACGGTGGTAGTCTGTGGTCGACAATGGTTGTGAAGGTCATGGAGAAGGTTGTTGCGGTATAGTTGGATTTGGAGGTGGCCAATGGTGGTGGTGTTGGTGGTAATGGATGGTGGTGGGCGGTGGGCAATGGTGGTTGTAAAGGTGGCAACAGGCGGTGGTGAAGGAGGTTGTTGTAGTAGAGGAGGAGTTCGAGGTGGCGAACCGTGGTAGTGGTGGCGGCAATGGACGATGGTGGTCGATGGTCGACTATGGTAGAGGTGAGGATGGACTTGGTGGACGGTGGTTGTGGAGGCGGTGGAGGATGTTATTGTAGTGGAAGAGGAGGAGGAAGTGGAGGTGGAGGTGGCCGCAAGTGGTGACGGGGGGCGAAACTAGAGGGGATGACCCCTAAAACAAATACCATAGTAAGGTTATATATCAAACTAGGATAGATTAGTAATATTTTGATTTCTGTCTTATTTTTGTCCCATCTTGTTCCACCTATTTTGGTGGAACAAAAAAAGTCTCTTTTGTCCCATGTTGTCTCATGTCGCTCCAAACGTAAGACAATGACTTCTTGTTCTATCCCATGCTGCACAAAAACATGGGACAGTGAGTTTTGTCAGTCCTATCCTGTCCTGTCCTGTCCCATGTACGAAACACAGTCTTATGATATTCAATGATGTTTATATGTGTTAATAAGAATATGTTCATAACCATAAGGTTTTCATCCGAATGTGTTCATAACCATACATAAGACGTTCATAAGATTGTGTTCATAACTATATGATGTTCATATGTATTCAATAAAATTGTTCTTATGTGTTCATATGCCATGATTTTTTTCACAATTACCTCTATTCAAAAACATTCATCAATGTTTATTTTTGTTCAGTTTTTCATTTATTACAAATATGACATGATTAACTTAACCCATATATTTTAAAGTTTTAAGAGTCAAAATTCACTCACATAGTTAACACCTATTATTAGGTTAGTAAAAAAAAAACCCGTGTGCATACGTGCGTGTTACAACATGGACATATAAGGTATATAGGATAATTTCTTTCACAATTTCACACAAAACTTCAAAATTGACATAGAACATTAAAATGACCCAAATAAGATAGAGCCTAATTAAACGAAATTCTCAATCTCATCCGATTTACATTCCAAAAGAAATAACATCTAAAATCTAAAAAGTATTCAAAATTGAGAAAAATTCAAAATCAAAGCTTCCGAGGCGATTTCATAGTTTCTGAATGGTTTGATACAGAATGATTAAGTGGTCAGAATGATTAAGAGACTCTCATGATATAGTACAAAATGAAATATAACTGTTGAATAATTGTTTATAATAAAACTAGGGTGCTGAATGGTTAAAAAAGGCCTATGATGCATAATCATTCAAAGGATTTTAGAACCATTAAAAAACTTTTTTTAATCCAACAAGATTCATCTTTTAACGATTCAAATGCTACATCTTAATTGAACTATTAAGAGGTGAACAAACAACTCTATAAAATATGATTTATGAGTAAAAAACCGTTGCGGGCAATATTCCTATGTATGAGGAGGATTGGCCGTCTCCAATAGGATAAAGCATCTTATCGTAATTCGAAATATACAATTCTTTTTGCACGTTTTTCGATGTTATTCGGTCTACATCATCTATTCATTAATTAACATCATCCAACTTCCAAACCAAAATTCATACACCACACACCCTACGCAAATAAATTGAACCGTTAACCGTCCCCGACCCGATTGGAATTAAATTTCAGGGCTACACAACATCTAAAAACATCACCCATTTTGAATTTTTCTATGTTTTTGTATGTTCATCAATCATATAAATACATATAATAAAAGAGAAAAAAACATGAATAAATAACACTACAAAACAAGGCTACACCGATAAATATTACATTTACATTATCGTCATTTAGTACGCCACCTGCTTTTTTGGTCCCTACTATTAATACCTATTTAATCAAGTTGACAACAACGAACAAACACCTTCCCTTCTCGTCTCAACATCGACCGCCATTTCCATGTATACACATACATATATATACATATATATATATACACAGAGAGAGAGAGAGATAACCACCATCTCTTCCTCCATCGCTATTCTCTTCAAAATCTTTCAAAACCATAAGCGTATATCCTTCTTCTTTGATACATAAATACGTTTTGATAAAATGGGTAGTCTTGAATCTGAGTTTTTCACCATGTCCAAGTCTGTGGATTCCAAAGAGTTCAAGCCTTTAGACCCTGAAGAATTTCGTGAAAAAGCCCACAAAGCTGTGGACTTTATCGCTGATTACTACAAGAACATTGAGAACTACCCGGTTCTCAGCCAAGTTCAGCCTGGTTACCTGAGAAACCGGCTACCGAAAACCCCACCGAATACACCAGAATCATTTGACATCATCTTAAGAGATGTACAAAATGATATTATCCCTGGTATGACACATTGGCTGAGTCCAAACTTCTTTGCATTCTTTCCGGCCACTGTAAGTTCGGCCGCGTTTGTAGGAGAAATGTTGTGCAATTGCTTTAACGCAGTTGGATTCAACTGGCTTGCTTCTCCGGCTGCCACCGAGCTCGAGATGGTGGTCATGGATTGGCTCGCCACCATGCTCCAGTTGCCGAAAAGCTTCATGTTTTCGGGTTCTGGAGGTGGGGTTTTACAATCGACCACAAGCGAGTCGATCTTGTGCACACTTGTTGCGGCTAGAGATCGAGTCCTTGAAGAAATTGGCGTCCAACATATAGGGAAATTAGTCGTGTACGGGTCCGATCAAACTCACTCAACTTACATGAAAGTCTGCAAGATAGCTGGTATTCATCCACATAACATTCGATCTTTACCGACCACTGTCGAAGATGATTTTTCTCTTTCCCCAAGGCTGCTTCGGAAGGTCATAGAAGCTGATGTGGCTCAAGGGTTAGTCCCACTTTATCTATGTGCGACCATGGGGACCACTTCCACTACTGCAATAGACCCTATCAAACACCTTGCTAACGTCGCAGTCGATTATCGAATCTGGATCCACGTCGACGCCGCCTATGGCGGAAGTGCATGCATATGTCCAGAATATCGCCATTTTCTTGAAGGTGTCGAGCTGGTCGACTCACTGAGTCTTAGCCCGCATAAATGGCTACTTACTTATTTGGATTGTTGTTGCCTTTGGGTGAAGAACCCGAATCTTATCGTCGATTCACTCAGCACCAATCCGGAGTACTTGAAAAACAAAATTAGCGAGTCAGACTCGGTGGTGAGTTACAAAGATTGGCAAGTTGGTACAGGTAGAAAGTTCAAGTCGCTACGTCTATGGCTCATTTTACGTAGCTACGGTGTAACCAACCTACAAAACCACATCCGCACAGACATCCAAATGGCTAAAATGTTTGAACGGTTTGTACGATCCGACCCAAGGTTCGAGATCACGGTGCCACGACGGTTTTCGTTGGTGTGTTTTCGGTTAAAACAATTCAACGGCTTCGACTCGGCTTACATTGAGCTCCTTAACAAGATGTTGTTGGAGCGAGTGAACTCGACAGGGCGAGTTTACATGACTCACACGGTGGTTGGTGGCGTTTACTTACTGAGGTTTGCAGTAGGAGCAACGCTGACGAAAGATTGTCATGTGGTTGCCGCTTGGGAACTAATAAAGGAGACGACGGATGCTTTGGTGAAGGAGTGTTATGCTTAAATTCTTGATCTTGGTGTATCACTATTCACTAATAATAAAATTGATTGTAATCTATCAATAACTTAAATCATATTTTTTTTGTATCTTTTCTCAAATCATTTTAAACATTATATTTAAAAATCATTTGTTAAAAATTTAATTTATTCTATATATATATATATATATATATAATTACTAGAAAGGTACTCCTACAATAAAGCGAGATACATCTCGATTTTAATGTTTTTTTTTTGTTTCAGTTGATGTAATAATACGGTTTTATGTGGTTTTGAAAAAACAATAATATTTTTATTTTTGAATAAAATATAAATACGAAGGTACCATAAAGAATTGATATATATATATATATATATATATTGATTAACCTGGATATTCAATCTGGTATGCGAGCCGACTAATCCTAGGACGACCACCTGTTTTGTGGGTAGTCCAGAGTCACCGCATTTGAATCTCTGTGGCCACAAGGGGATTTTTATTCTTCCTTGGATTTGAACTTGAGACCTCCAGACACTTTGACCTTTGAAGCCCAAACTCAAATCAATCAGACACCATCCTTGTGGTTGAAAAAAAATATATTGATATTAATACGAAACTAACTATTTAAAATTTCTCATATTTTGTGTATTTCTTTAATTCATTTTTTTGGTTTCATAATATAATTTTTTATAAAAATAATAATCAAGTATTTTGTTAGAACTCAATGATTATTCTAATTATATTTTAGATTTTTTTATAATTAAAATAAGATGTTTATCCTCTATTTGATTATGTTTATTTATAGTTAGTTACACGAATTCAAACATGAAACTTTAATAAGTTGCATGTACCTACACATAATTTATTTGTAATATTGAATTTTGAGTAATATACATTAATAAACAATACTTCATGCATAAAAAATAGTTTTTACGAATTTTTATCAAATGTTTTATAATATAGTATAGATAATGAACTTGTAAACTTGATAACTAGTACATAATATGTTGTTCATTTGATTCTTTTTTTTTAATAAAAAACTAAGATTTATAATATTAAGTAATATGTGTTTGTTTCACGTACATGCACTTCTACTCAATATGAATCTTTTTAGTTTGTTTGTAAAAAAAATACATGCAAAAAAGTTTCACATTATAAACCGAACACATATAAAACAAATACAATCTGAAATAAACATAATATGAAACAAATATATGTTAGTCGATACATTAAAAATTATAATTAGATAGAAAAATAATTATATGAATCAAATTTTAAAACAGAAATTTTCACGGATTTCACAAATTTAGATGTTCTAAAATGATTAAGTCTCTGTATTAAATTATATAGTAAAATATATTTTTGATCCTTCTGCTACGTCAAAATTATGACTAGATTCATAGAGTTCATTTAATACATTATGGGTCTTGATAGGATGCAATTTATTAAGTATTTATTGGGTCCCTGTTGCTAACTTTGTTAAAAGAGTCGTTACTTAAACGATAACTTAGATATTTTTACATTATTCTCCTATTTTTCGTTTGAAAAAAATAAAAATTTAAGGGTAGCGATCATCTTCGATTAGAGTAGCTAACTTTTTGCTACGGGCTGATCTATCACTAATTTACAACAGATCAGCTACGAACCCGATTTTTTTTATTCTTACTCACATTTTTTGCGACCGATGTATGATCCGTCGTTAATTCGTGCAAAATGTACATATTCGTTACGAATTAGTGACGACGAAAAAAAAACACTTATTTTTTAAATAAATAAAAAGATAAACTTAAAAATCCGTCACAAATCTGCCATTAAATAATTAAAAAACTACATTTTCCATGGTTTTGGTATAGATTTAATTATATTCAATTTTAAAATCAAAAATCTTGATAAAATCCGTAGCTAATCCGAGACAAATATATTTAGATTTGACGCGTCTTTGCTGTGGATCTAATTATATTCGATATTTAAAAAATTCAAAACAAATCTTGATAATATACGTAGCTATTTCGAGACAAATATATTTAGATTATCACGGCTTTACTGCGGATCTAATTATATTCGAAATTTAGAAAAATCAAAATAAATTTTGATAAAATCTGTAGCTGATATGATACAAATATATAGTTCATTAATAGCGTCAACTTTTTTGAAAGTAGAGAAACAATCACAAAAAGGTGTCATTGGACAAGAAGCTTTGGTATCTAACACCCATCGTTTATCTCCGTGTCGTGGTGTAAATGTAACCTAAAAAACTTGTATTCTTTTCGGTTGCAACCGCTAAAGATTCTCCTTTTGACTTGTCCTTGTTCTTCAAACTCGAGCTGTCTTTAACCCAATGGCTTGGCTAGCTTGTGGCAATAATTACAGTTGCCACGTGTCTTTGCTTTCCCTCTAGATCATGGCTTGCAAGATTGGGAGCGTCCACGGTTTCTTCCTATAGAAGATTGTTGATCACCTCGGCCTCTGTCAGCAAATAGGCCTTGACTATGATTAATCTACATTGGATTGTTACCGATTCTCATTTGAATTCTTTGATCTTCATAAAACAAATTGACTTTTGAAAAATTCAATTGTTGCATATCAAACCTTTGATTCTCATTTCAGAAGAAGGTTTAGGTCAAAGTTTTGAACTTCGATACAACACATATTATCTTAGTGTTGCCAAAAAACTGATTACATCAAATATTTTCACCTACTTATATCAATTTCAACTTATGCACCCTAAAATTAGTTACATTATGTTTTGAGGTTGAAGACAACAAATTAGAAATCAAAACAATGTCACAACATGCTCAACATCTCGAAATAGAATCCTAGCCACGAGACTCGTGAACTCTAGATAGCTCTTTCTTACTATTCAAAATTCGAATATCTCAATGGCACCATCATTGATGTCATTCTACATTGTATGAAATAGGATCCATGGCATACTTGTATATTGGCTCACCAATACAATTGGTCATGAGATATGGTCTATGCTGCTAATTATGGTAAAATTAAATGATTATGGTATGACTTGCATGAACACTTATCAGTCATGAATAAGTAGCAAACTTAACAACTTAAGGTTGACATCAAATTGAAATTATCAAAGTAAAACTATGTAGTTGTTTATTATAGCAAATGAAATGTTTTACAAGATGAATTGGATAAACACGGGGCTTTGATTTTCTACAAATATGGTCAATGTAGCAACATTGGCAAACAACATGAGAAACAATGAGAATATGAAGGATTCTACAATTTCTTCTTGGGCTATGTTTTGAATGTTAAGCTCAATTGTGATCAACTTTTGTTGCTAGATCTGATCCTTTGTTGAATTGACCTTTTCAACACTGCTCAAGAAACAGGTTTGGGGGACCACATGCAACATCAGTGAAAAACTTGAGGTGCTCGGGTTTGTTGTCCATGTAGGAAACATATACTAACCATAAATGGACATCGCGGAAAACGGATCTCTGGTATACTCTTATTGTCGCAAAATAGAACACGATATTACGACCTCTATGGTATGCTATATCAGTACTAAACAAATATGGAAGTAATTATTGAGGAAAGGCAATGTAAGAGGAAAATCAAAGATCTTGTAGATTGGTTGTGGTTGTGGTCATGGTAGTATTTGTGCTAATGATGCGTTGGTAAATACAACTCATGAAATAACCAATTGATAATGACGTCATGCACCAAGTATATGATACATGCTGAATGGTGTGTGGCGTTGACAATATTCGTATCCCTCAAAGTACACCATAGACTACTTATGATTGTTTGCATGTTAAGTTGGGGATGAATGTTTGGATAATATAAAGTGTACGCTCTAGTCATGTTATTGATGATGAATCTAGTCTACTAGATGCAAAGAAAGTTGGGAACGAATGCTTGGATGATTGATAAATGTCGCTACTAATGAGGGTGTTGTGAGACTGATAACCATTGTTATCCTCCAACATGTCCTCTTTGTTCCCAAAGTAAATCGCAAATTGATTTATGTTTCACAGCTTAATGATAATATAAACTACTTTATCCAGTTTTACTCTAACTTATGTGATACACAAGACTTGTATTCAAGGAAGGTGATTGGTACGAGTCATAATCGGAACGAACATTACTACCTTTGGCAAGGATTGAAGGTGCAATCAGTTTTGGTTGATAATTCGAAGCCATTGGAACTATGGCATAATCAATTGGATCATCCCTTCGAAAACGTGGTAAAGCTACTTCCTTTTTTTAGCAATGATAAGGGTCATTTAAATAGAGCATTTAAAATTTGTTATCTTGTTAAACATTCTATAGATATGCTTAATAATCAACTCATCCTTTTGAGTTAATACATTGCAATTTTTAGGGTCCGTGTGATGAAACTACTTCTGATTTTCCTTATTTTTATGTATAGTGGATAAGTATTCCTAAACTATGTGCGTGTTGAAAGTAAGCTAGACCACAGTAAGCTAGACCAACAGTCCAGTTAGTTATACCAATTTACGGTTGGGTAGTTATTTGGTTTATGTTAACCGTTGTGTTGATTAGAAGGGTCACAACAGTTGGCTTACATGTGTATAAATAGTCATGTTTGTGTAAGGGGGAGTTTTAAGTGGAAAATAATTAATCTAGACTTAATAACAGTTAAAGATTATTATTAACTATAAAAATGTAGTTAAACAACAGTTTATTAACTGTTATAATATGTATCTATATATCTCTGTGAAAAATCGTGGAACAGTGGAAAAATATATGAAATCTTAGTTATTTGAGTGTGAAATCTTTTCTTCAAGGGAACAGCCCTTGATTCCCATAATCTTTCTTGCAATTTTGTGTTCTTTAGTTTGTTCCAACAGTGCGTATTTTTGGTGATTGACAACAAGAAGTATATGTCCTTTATTTCTATGATTAATCAGCAATTTTCCAAAATTGGAACTTGTTTGTAGCAATGATGATATGGAGTTTAACTTTATGAAATATCATTTCGTGGCAAATGGGATTTTATATCAAACACCTTGTGTGGTTATTCCCCCAACAATATAGAGGAGCGGAGAGAAACATGTTTTA